AAAAATAAAATCTGAGACTGGCAGAGTATTTTATTAAGTCTTGGGAATCAAAGATGTGGGATGGGTTTAGGGTAATTAATCCAACTTAACAACACCTCTGAAGCAGGAGTCAAAAACTGGCTAAACAGGACCATAAAGCCAGCTTAAACTTTTTAAAACCAAATACCAATGACTTTAGTTCTTTTATTATTTTAGGAAATGCTACATTATCAACACTTTTCATGTCACTGAAGACAAAATGGTATAGAAAAACAGACATCAATGACTGAGTGGAAAAGGATATCTAGACTCAGATTCTGAATGTGAAGATGTTTTAGATATGCCCTAGCCAATTAAGTTTGCTTAAAATTTTCATGTTTTGTGTATATACCAGAGTAATTGATAATAAAAATCTATTCAATCTAAAAGCTTGCTTTCAATAAATATGAAATAAAAATTCTAGGTGAAATACAGTATCACATGATTCTTCTGTTACTCTGTGGATCTCCTTCCTAAAGGTGGACAGGAATACTAATGGTTGACCATCAGCCTTTGTGGTTAACACCACAGGAATAAATGTAAGATACTTTGTCTGAACACTTTACCCCTAGGGGGAGCTCAAAGCACATCTTCCTTTATTCCACCCCAGAGAAGTGCTAAGGACACATTAGTGAGCCACAGTACTAGGTTATTTCTTCCTAAATGGTAAAAAGATCAAATGTTCTTGTCATCTACAGGAATGTTCCTGTGTATTTTTTTACTCTCTTCTCTCATAGAGAATGCAAAAAAAATCTGCTTCCTATCTTGGGGAGACTATTGAGAAAATCAGGGTATAGACAAGGGGAAACGTGGCATGAGACACACAGCCTGAGTCTAGCTCCGGGCAGATCTTCATGGAGCTTTGAAACTAAAGCCTGCAGCAATAAAAAATGAGTATGTGTCCAGGATGTGCTTAAGAATCTACAGGATGGCCCTAACCGTTTTAGCTCAGTGGATGGAGCATCGGCCTGCGGACTGGTTCGATTCTGGTCAAGGCCATGTACCTTGGTTGCGGGCACATCCCCAGTGGGGGGTGTGCAAGAGGCAGCTGATTGATGTTTCTCTCTCATCAATGTTTCTAACTCTCTATCTCTCTCCCTTCCTCTCTGTAAAAAATCAATAAAATATATTTTTTTAAAAAAAGAATCTACAGGGTGGTGGTAATAGGCTCTGGTATAGCAAATGTAGAATTGGAATCCTATCTACGGACTGCTTACAAATACAGCTAAAAATCATTTTTAGAAACTTTTTCCCCATCAGTATAACAGGATCTTAAGCACTGCCACCTGAGTAAATTTAAAAACTTATAAGCAATAAGTAACCAATATACTACTTTTAGGTTGAGAATAAAGGCTTGTTTTATATATAGACAAAATATAAAATAGTAAATTGTTTTACCTGGAATGATCCAAGAATATCCTTTAAGGGCTCTTCATAAAACTCATCTCTTCCAAAGAAAAGCAGCAACTCAAAGAAACTCCTAGGAAAAATAAATGAATGATAACTTTCATTGCTTCTTTGACTTTTGCCCCAATTTAAAAATATCTCAATAGATAACAGCTATGTAATCAGATATCTAGTTTTAAAATAGTTGGCTCTGAAACATTATATAGATCATTTAGGATTCATTTTATGTTTTCAGTAAAATTTTAATAGAAGTATCTTAAAGAAAAATAAAAGAAATACACTTAAATTCTGGAATTACAGAATGAACTCATGCCTACTAGTGTTCACACTGCAAAAAAATGCAACAGGATACCAGGTGGTAAAATGTAGCAATACATGTGAAGATTATCTAAAATGGGCACATACTCGTAGTACAATGGGAAGCAGAAAAAATTCAAGTTAATTTTTTTCAGAAGAATATAAGGGATAGATAGAAACAAAAACATATTAGCGAGTCACCATGAATCTCTCAACCAACATTTATGTTACAGCAATATCACCAATTATGTATCTAATTAATGACATTTGGACACTCAAACTCCAGGCTTCTCTTAATTATCATTTTCCTACTGTCCAAAATCCTTATTTTCAAATAAATTATTTGGAAAATATTGTTATTAATTAGTTTATATGCCTTTAATAATTCATTAGCTCATACAGGAAGAAATATTATTTATTTCCTAATCATGAACATAGAAAACTATAAAATTATTATATATTACTTTGCAATCCTAAATGACAAATCCCACAAATTTTTTTAAAATATATTTTTATTGATTTCAGAGAGGAAGGGAGAGGGAGAGATAGAAACATCAATGGTAAGAGAGAATCATTGATCAGCTGCCTCCTGCATGGCTCCTACTGGGTATCAAGCCCACAACCCAGACATGTGCACTGACCTGGAATCAAACCATGACCTCCAAGTTCATAAGTCAAAACTCAACCACTGAGCCATGCCAGCTGGGCACTCCCACAAAATTTTTAAATTTTGTCACGGCCTTCATTTTGAAGTCTATTTTGTCAGATATGAGTATTGCTACCCCAGCTTTCTTTCTTTTCGATTTACATGGAAATTTTTTTTCCCAACCTTTCATTCTCATTCTGTATGAGTCTTTTGCTCTGAGGTGGGTATCTTATAGACAGCATATAATTGGGTCATGTTTTTGTATGCATTCAGCTACCCTTGCCTTTTGATTAGAGCATGTAATCCATTTACATTTACAGTTATTAATAATAGGTACTTATTTGCCATTTTAATTCTGTATGCCTGTTTCTTTCTGTCTCTATTCTTCTCCTTACAGCATTCATTTTGGCATTTATTGCAGTGCTGGTCTGGTGATGATAAAACTCCTTTAGCCTTTTTTTGTTGGAAGCTATTTTTTCAACATCTATTCTGAATGATAGCGTTGCTGGATACAGTAATCTTGGTTTCAGGTTCTTGCTTTTCATTACCTTGAATACTTCATGCCATTCCCTCTGGCCTGTAGAATTTCTGATGAGAAATCTGATAGCCTTATGGAAGCTCCTTTGGAGGTAATAAATTGCTTTTCTCTTGCTGCCTTTAAGATTCTCTCTTTGTCTTTAATTTTTGGCACTTTAATTATGATGTGTCTGGGCAAGGGCCTGTTTGCGTTCTTCTTGCTTGGGACTCTCTGTGCCGCCTGAACTTGTGTGACTTTTTCCTTCACCCCATTAGGAAAGTTTTTGGCCATAATTTCTTCAACATGTTCTCCATTCCTTGTTCACTTTCTTCCCCTTATGGCACACCTATTATGTAAATATTTTTACATTTCATATTGTTTCATAACTCCTTTAAGCTGTCCTGTTTTTTCAATTTTTTTTTTGTTTTTGTTTTCTGGTTGAGTGACTTTCTACCATCATCTAATAAATCCACTGATCTGATCCCCGGCTTCTCCTAATCTGCTCTGTATATTTTTCCACTGTGTTCTTTATTATTGCTATGTCATTCTTCATAGATACTATATCTTTTCTCATGCTGTTGAGCATTTTTGCCATCATTATTCTAAACTCTATGTCTGTTATATTTCTTATCTCCTCTTCATTTATCTCTTCTTCTGGAGAATTCTCTTGATCTTTCATTTCAGGCTTGTTTTTTGGCTGCCTGTTTGGATTTGTGTCTCTGTATTAAGTAGATCTGCTATGAGTCCCCATCTCTCATGCAAGACAATGTCAGATGCTGTTTGTGACTGTTTGGAGCTATCAGCAATCCAAAGCTTGTGGCTCTCTCTGCTGTGGTTGGGTGCCTTTGGAAAGGACCAAGATGTGCACCAAGGACTGCTTTTCCCAATCCCTGGACCAGAAGGAGATCAGGCAAAAAACAAAATGTTTAAATACTAAGTCATGTAAAAGATATACAAAGTTTTAGTTTTATAAACAGTTTGTCTTTTATCAAAATTAATCACTAATAAAGATCAAAATTTTAAAATGCAAACATAACTATGAGACTGTCTTGTTTTAAAAATTATGACACTTAAGCATTACACAATAAATACAAAGACTGTTCAAAATATAGCATAACAACTATATGCTACGAAAATATTAACTGATATTTTTATAAATTTGACTACTTAAAAATTTTAAATGTCACCAGACCAAAAAGTGTAAAAGCAGTCAAAAGCAAAATGATACACTGAGAAAGAATTTTGCTGATTTCCTTAATTAAAAAGCATGTACAAGTAATTTTTTTAAAAAGTCCAACAACCAGTAGAAACTAGGAGGGAAGAAGGACTAACTTCATGGAAAACAAATGCAGGTAGATTTTTTTTTTTCATATAGGAAAAGATGTTCTAATTACTCATAATTAAATAAGTAACAATTTATGAAAATGAAATACCATTTTTCCTTCATATTTATGAAAATGTTGATATATTCTATCATGGCTCTGATAGTATGGTGGAGGAATGATAAATGGTACCACCTCTTTTAAGGGCAACACAGTAATAATCATCAAAATTTTAAATGCACATATACCACTTGATTTTGCAACTCTACTTATAGAAATTAATCCTCCAAATATATATACATAAGCTCAAAGATGTATATATAAGAATATACACCCACAGATGGTGTGTAGTAGGAAAGACTGAAAGTATTTTAAATGTCTACCCCAGGGGACTAGGTAAATTAATTATAATACACCTATACAATGAAATATTATGCAAATATTAATGAAATAAATTAGTGAGAAGATACTTATATCTACATGAAGAGATAAGGAAAAAAATCAAGATATACTGCTCAGCAAAGATGCAGAAATTCATTACATTATCATTTGTATAAAGGGAGGGAGGGAGCAAAGGGCACATGAAAATCCAGGGCATATTGTCAGACCATCTAGAGCAATGGTTCTCAACCTTCTGGCCCTTTAAATACAGTTCCTCACGTTGTGACCCAACCATAAAATTATTTCGTTGCTACATGGTAACTGTAATGTTGCTACTGTTATGAATCGTAATGTAAAATATCTGATATGCAGGATGGTCTTAGGCGACCCCTGTGAAAGGGTTGTTTGACCGCCAAAAAGGTTGCGGCCCACAGGTTGAGAACCGCTGATCTAGAGGATATGCAACAAATTGATAAAAGAAATTGCCTTTACATAGGAGAAACTAGAAGTCAGGGGTAAAAAGAATTATGTTTCAATAATAACCCTTTTGCAATTATTTATTTTACTATCAGTAAGTATGAAAAGAAAAAACCATTAATGTGTCTCTGGAATCTTCTCCATCCCTTTTAACAAACATTAATTCCCATCTATCTCATCTTTAAACTTCTAATAGGCCTTCCTAATTCCAGTCTTGCTATTTCACCCTTACCTAAAACCTATGTCTGCCACCGTTATCTTCCTAAACTAATGATCTAACTACTTTCAGACTTTACAAACTACTGTTTGGATTGTACATATAAAGCAAAGACCTTTAGCGAGACACTTATTCTGTTTGGATAACATATTATTTTAGAATATTTTAGTGAATGGCAAATATTTAAAAACTGTGATGTTTCAGATTAAATATAGATTTATTTTAGCTCTTGAAAAACAAGAATCCCTGTAACACAGGCCTTGCATCTCTCCATGACAAATAAGCTGAGTGGCTACAGGGAATGAACCTCCTTTCCAATTTGCCGGTCTCCATCTGCCTCTCCAACACAGTGCCTGTTTGATTTATTTATTACTTATACTAGAGGCCCAGTGCACAGATTTGTGCACTGGTGGGGGGGTCACTCAGCCTGGCCTGCACGCTCTCACAGTCTGGGACCTCGGGGGATGTCTGCCTAAGCCGGCAGTAAGACATCCCTCTCACACTCCGGGGCTCTCGCAGTCCAGGACCCCTTGCTCCTTACCGCCTGCCTGCAGCAGAGGCGGGAGAGGCTCCTGCCACTGCGGCTGCACTCACCAGTCATGAGGCCAGCTTCTGGCTGAGCAGCACTTCCCCTGTGGGAGCACACTGCCACCAGGGGGCAGCTCCTGCACGTCATAGCGACCAGTCATTCCACCATTAGGATTTTATTATATAGGATTGCCTTCCAATCCTACTTAGGTATATAAGACCACTGATCTAAAGCAGGAAATTCAAATTGCTTATCATGACAAAAAACCTTTTTGTCTGATCCAAAACTGCTCTTAAACAAATATATTTTACCACAAATTC